TCGAATATCGGGACGGAAAAAAAAAAAGAAAAGGAGAAGAGAAAGAAATGGAAGAAATAAAACAACAGACAAGAAGAGAGGAAACAAAACTTGAAACAATAAAATTCGAACGCCGTGCGTGGACGTCTCGGTACTGTTGTTCGATCGTGATCGCAACGAAGGGGGCAAAAAGAATCAAAGGGTTAGTCGTTGGGAAAAAGTCTTCGCGTCGTTACTTTCTATTCCTCACGTGCAAGCATTTTACGTTCGAAACGCTCCAAGCGGAATCGGGTCAATAAGGCACTGTTCACCGACAATGTCTGACTAGAAAATGAATCTATTTTCGGAACTCTTGTTTACTTGTTTGTTTGTTTGTTTGTCTGTTTGCGTTTCTCATCCCTTATCTCGACGTTTCATTTCTCGTTTCGCGTCCGCTCGCTGGATCGTTCTCTCTTTCGCGGAACCGGGGACCGACCGGGCTACGTCCACCGTTTCCTTACATATTCAATTCCTTATACTCTAATCATATATATAATATACACGTGTATATATCTACCTAGCTCCATTTGTTTTCACGCTAAATCAAAAAATAGGTCGGCAAGGTTAATCTAGTATTCGGTATCCAATTCCATATCCTACGCTCACTCTACTCACGCTACTGTTAAAACGAAGAAAAAATTAACACATGAAAATATAGGTCTCCGCCGGTGAGCATTTTCACAGACATCGATCACGAAGAAGACGCGATAGAACGCGGCACGTAGAGTCGTCCCCGTACGAAAGAGAGAACGCAGAGGGCCCAGAAGAAGGAACCAGAACGCTCGGAGACGGGAAGGCGGCGAGGGTGTCGCCACCTCCTTGGGTCACCCGATGAAACGCGTTTACGAGGTCTTCATCTTCTTGTACGGTTGCATGATCACTCCGGAGCTGACCGGAATCGCGACCTGCGGTTGCGCCGCGATCGTTGCCGGATTCGGAATCTGCGGTATCTGAGGGACACCGGGTACACCGGCCGCCGCGACGCCAGCAGCGACTCCAGGCATGCTGGCGACACCCGGTAAAACCGTGTAAGGATTCTGGACGTAGGGATTTCCCTGGACCGCGGCTGCGGCCCCAGGAACGGTCGGTATCGAGGCTTGAACGTAAGGATTCGGCAGGATCTGTTGCCTCATCAGCGAGTAAGGATTGATGGGAGCGCCGGTCGGTGGTCTGGAGTAGGCTAGAATTCCAGCGGACAGAGGCGAGGTTAGGGCGCCGGGAATGCCGGCTAGGTTCGGAATCACTGGTCTAGGTGTCGCCGCTGTCGCCGGCAGGCCAGCGACCGGTGAAGTTCCAGCTGCGGCTGCGGCGGCCGCTGGATTCACCAGAGCTTGCTTGTTCAGGGCTACACCGGTGTAGTTGAGAGCCGCGAGCTGGTTGATACCGTAAGACTGCGAGGCCTGGGACAGCTTGATGGCTTTCGCGTAATTCTTCTGGGCGACCTCTTTCGCGAGAGCGGCAGGGTCGATGGGCGTGTGCAGTCCGGAAGCCATGCCGAGGGTGTTCAGCATGCTCAGACCGGCCACGTTCGAGGCGTTGTAGTTCGACATGGATACCATGTTCGTGACCGACGGTATGTTCGTCATGGAGGACATCGAGACCATGTTAACCACGCCTGGCATCGAGGTTAGGCCTGCGACCGAGGTCAACGGGCTCATCGCGGGCTGCACCGAAGCAGCGGACAACGCCAGTTGACTTTGTATCTGTTGCTGTTGATGTTGTTGTTGTAACTGGTGTTGTTGCTGCTGCTGTTGCTGCTGCTGATGTTGGCCCTGTTGCTGTTGGTGCTGTGTCTGTTGATGTTGCTGCTGCTGCTGTTGCTGTTGTTGCTGCGAAATGGTCGACGGACTCGCGTGATTCAATTCGGGGGAGTTATGCGCGTTTTCGGCATCGTGATTCTGCGTGGCATTCGGCTGCTTGTTATTGCCGTTACTATTGTTACTGTTATTGTCGGCAGTTGGAGGTGGTGGCGGTGGGTTGTTGCAGGGATCCATCAGCACGCCATTGTTGGCGTCGGCGCAGTTATTGACTGTGGCGCCACCGGTTCCCTGGGAGGAGGAGGAGGACTGAACCACCACCGCGTGGTGGTTGCTTTGCACGTTCGGGGGTTGCACGACCGATTGGTTAGAGGTTTGGGTGGGTAGGGGTGGTGTTCCAGTGTACTCACATGACACAGGCACGAAGGGCTGCTGCAGCTGCATTAACTGTTGATAGGTCGTCGCGCCGGTAGGCTGATAGACCGGCATGCCGGACTTGTCGCCCGCCGGTCGTTTATACGGAACCATTCCTGGGAAGGCCTGTAAAACAGAAGCGTGGAAAACGTTCGCGATTAGTAAGAACAATGGCTTGTCATTCGTTGGGGCGAGCCTGGCGAGTCGAGGCTTCCGCAAGGATGCAACACACGCGGAGAGGAAGCCTCGACTCCGTAGCTCCGAGGGAACATCTCTGTTCCTTCTTTTCCTCTTATTTCCTCCTTTATTTCCTCCTTCTTTCTTTTCTTTTTCGCGTGTCTCGAAAATTTGTCCCGATCCAACGGAGAGCAGGGAGCAGGTTCCGCGTACGTGGCTCCATAGCGACTCGAAGGTATCGTTTCCGGTTCTCTGTTTTATCGCACGTGAAACAGCGAGAGAAAGACATAACGACATCACCCGTACGTGCATCACTCGTAACGAGGCATTCCGGCTTGACGCCTTTTATCGACTCGCATTTAAACGCGTGTACGTTAATCGCGAAAAGAGAAAACAATTGGAGGAGATCTCGCCAGAAGCAACGATCGCGTTCCGTTTCCATCCGACTCGTTTAACGCGCGGAGACACACCACGTGTACGTGTACCGGAAAGCTCGAGCGGGACAAAAGTGCCGCGTGAATTTACATATAGCGTATATCGTTAATTAATTAATTTAATGAAATTTTTTTTTTACTTTTATGAGATTCAGTGGTTAGATTCTGCACTTACAAAGTTCTCGTAGTAGAACGATCCGACAGACTTCATGTCCATCTGCAACAAAGACAGGATCGGTTTCAACTAATTTCGAGGAGGAGGTTGTACGAGTTGCGTCTGTATAATTGGATTTCAGGAGGAAGATGAGACAGAGAAATTTGGAGGGTCGGGGTATCGGTTTTCAGAGAAACAGAATTAGGTATAGTCAATTGTCGGGCGGGTTGGTATACAACACGACAAAAGTAGGTAGTAGTGGTAGTAATAGTAGTACTAATAGTAATAGTAGTTAGTTAGTAATTAGTAGTAAATAGAAGTGGTAGTAGTGTGTAAAAGTTGTGCCGATGACGCAGCTTGCGGCGACGTTCCCAAATGACGACGATCGTTGTTGGATAACTGTAAAATGCTCGTTTCTTTTCTGTTTTCTTTCTTTTTTTCATTCTTTTTTTGCTCATCTTTTCATTTCGGCTGTTCCGCTCTATCATGTACTTTACCGCAAAGGTATTCGTTTCTTTGCGCTTTCGCAATCCCTGTTTCTACGATTATCGAAGAAGCGTGTTGGAAAGACCAGCCAGTTAGATATTACGTGCGACACCGTGTCACGGGGCCAATTAAAGGGAGAAGTCGTTGGTCCTGCTTCAATTCAGTGTCAAAATGGTCCATTAAAGAGGTACAACGCCGAACGCAAACTTGGACGAAACGGTTCTCTTTTTTTTTGTCCTATTGGAGGGGGCCTTGGAGCAACAGAGAGAAATAGACAGGCAGAGACAGAGAAACAGAGAGAAACAGAGAGACAAAGAGAGAGAGATATATATATATATAGAGAGCGAAAAAATAGCGGAAGGAAAGAGATTTTGCGTTTGTTCCGTGATTTCTCGTTGAGAGTCTTGATCCATCGATCGATTCGGCCGCCATCGAATTCACGAGGTTCCCTCGGGTAATCCGCCGTGTATCTGTACTATAATCGTGAACGAAAAGATCTCTAAAGGAAGAAGGATGAAAAGAGAAGCCGGGGGTCGCGTGGATCTGTTCGATCGAGAGCTTCCTGGCTGAAAAGCAAGTATAGATCGCGCGTGCTCGGTCGGTACAGCCGCGTAAAGGAGAAACGGAACGGACACGCGAAAAGAAGCCCCGAGCGGATATACGTGACGCGATGTATGTTAAAGTACGATGATCGATGATCGATGATCGATCGGCTGGCGACACACGCGGCTGACAGAAGAAGCGAAACGAAAGGAAAAAATTCTTCTCTTTTCTGTATTTTTCATTTATTCACCATCGAAGTGTCGGAAAGGTTAAGTTAGAGAAGAAGAAAGACAGAAGAGAGAGAGAGAGAGAGAGAGAGAGAGAGAGAAAGAGAGAGAGAAAGAGAGAGAGAAAGAGAGAGAGAAGCTGCACAGTTTCAGATGCAAAAGCTGAGAAGCTGGTAAAAAAAGGGGTTGTTTGTCGAGACAGAGCGGGAACGATGTGAATAGAACTGTTTGTCATACGATTACGAGTATTGCGTGTACATATCGACGTGACTGGGTATGGAAATAAAAGTAGAAAGAGAAAGAAAGCAAAAAAATGGAAAATAAAGAGAGAAAAAAGAGAGAGGTGCTCGCGAAACAGCGGGACGTTTGGCGTGATCAACCAGATTACAATTATAAGTCTCGGTGTGTGAACAGTGGCGGAAAATTCGTTTGCCAGTTACAGAAGTGGGGTTGAGGAACATGTCGCAAGCTCAAGTGCAAAATACCAGTGAAACAACGTCCGTCCGTCTTTTAATCATCCCCGAGTTTCTTTGAAAAGAAAAAGGATAAAGAAAAGCAAATAAACTGGATTTGTCGTAAAAACGAAAGCGAGGAATCAAGTTTGACACGGTTTCACGCGGTTTAAAATGGATCAAAAGCAGGAACGGACTATCCGTATCACCCGTTCGAAGGATAAAAATCATGGATACGTGACAGTATCGCGATGTATCAACGTACATATCAATGCATCGACGAGGAGATAAAAAAGGAAGAATCAAACGACGGGACGCGATTCCACGAAGAAAACCGAAGAAAAATAGAGGAGGGAAAGATCAGACGGATAATCCGAATTAAAGAAAAAAGGGGGGGAAAAAAAAAAGAAAAGTACAGAAACGTAGAGGTAGCGTAGAGAGTTAGCCTGTGTACGTAAAGCGATCTACGGTGCTTTTAGCAATTTCGACGTGACTCTGGAAAAAACGAGACAGAGGCCGTCCGACGAAATAAATCCGGGGAAATAAATCGGGAGAAAGAAAAATAAAGTGGAAATAAAAGAGAGAAGGAAAACGATACGAAAGCGAGGAAAAAAAGGAATATTCCGAGAAAAAGTGAGCGAAAAAATAGCGCGGTCATCGTTGGTTCTCTATGGAAAAAAGACAAAACTTTCGGGTCATCGTCCAGAGCGTCGAGGGGATGACGCTTGACACCATCACCTCGGTAGTCGCTTAAGCACAACATGCATCATCGGCGCAAGCTCAGAATTTACACAGATCTAACGCTCCGTAAACGCAGTACCAATCGTGTTTCATCGCCATGATTCTTCGTGTTCTCGTCCCTCGGAAACATCGAATCTCTCGAACATTCTCATTCCGAAGCGTATTTTCGCTTTAAAATCGATCTCTTCGCTTTTTCTCTACCCGTAACAGGCTTTTTTTTTTTTACTTTTTTTTTTATTCTTATTCTCGTTTCTCTCTCGACTCACAATTGCAGGTCCTGACGATACGGAGATTAGAGTTCAAGAATCTCGTCACGATGTTTCGCTGCGAAACACGCGCGCATCATCGATATTCCGCGATTCCCTCGAATTATCCTCGAGTCAGCCTTCGATAATAGCCGGTCGACTAGCCTTTAACGAGGCACGATCCTCCGCGTCGAGGGGACATCGAACGAAATGGAAAACGATCGTCGACGTCGGTGTTTCGTCGCGTCGACGATCTCGTTAAACTCGAATTTCGAACAGCTGCAAGGGAAATGCGCGCGTGACTCGAGACTGTGAAGCATAGCCATCGATCGGATCGCTCGATCGACCGAGTTCGTCGATCGCTGATCCGTTTCTCGTTTGATGGAGAGAAAGGTTTCGCCAGAGGGGAGGGAGGGGGGTGAGTTTTACGCGAAAATCGATCGTGTACATCGTCAACAACCACGAATCACTTCCGCTCGAAAAAACTCTATAGGTTTTCAATTTTTCCCTTTTTTCTCCCCCCTCTATTTTTTTTCCTCTTCTCTGCTCGTTGTGCCCCCTTTTTTTCAAATTCGTTCCGTTCAAAGAGACGGGGATCGAAAGATTATTTCCTTTTTTCTCGGTTTCAAATTTCGCGAGTGATCGATTCGTGGTTGATGATCGAGAAACAAACAACGAAGCGATCTATAAATACATTACGAGGCGTAAGCTCTGGTACGGACAACATTGCAACGAACGACAGTACGAAGCGAAATTAAACGTGGAAAGTAAGTGAACGGTGTGAAGAAACCAACGACGGAAACGGAAAAGTAGAGACAGAGGGCGGAAGACAGAGAAAGAGAGAAAGGTAAAGAGAGAGAGAGAGAGAGAGAGAAAGAAATTTCAGAAAATTTCGTTCCGCGAGCACAGTTTCGAGAAAAGAGGAAGCCAATGATACCGGTATACGGTGCCGTATCAATCGACGCGAATAATGGGCGCAACGAACGGTAAAACGACGAGCAAAACGAGAGAATCGAAAAGGTGAAAGGAAGAAAACAATGGAAAATAGTAGAGAATATCAACGATTCGAAATGTATAGAGATACACGGACAAATTAAAAGGCATCGACCCGGATATCGACTAGAAAAATTCTGACCTCGAACAGCGTACTTCACACGGGAATATTCTTCAAGAACGTACGCTTCTCTTCGAGTTAGAGAAAAAAGAAAGAGAAAGAAAAAGAAAGAGAGATAAAGATAGATAGATAGATAGAGAGAGAGAGAGATAGAGACACACCGAGATTGTTATTAAAGATGAAAAAGGAGATAGAGAGAGAAAGAAAAAATAAATAAATATATATATTATACACATATAGTATAATATATGTGTATATATATATATAGATAAGTATGCATATGAGAGAAAGAGAGAGGAGCTAGAGCTCTAAGCGCGCTCGGCAGTGTATTCACAATCGCAATGAATTACATGTTCGTAACTTAAAGATACGACACTACGAGGAACTTCCGGAAAATGGCCCGAACTTCTTGGTTTCGTTGCTCGCGAGCCTTCGGAGATGTCTGGAAGCTTTATCGAAGCAGAAGACGTGATATCTGGGTATATACGTGTTGCTTCGATGCTTCGTTACACTGGAGCACAGAGATGATGTTAGTGACATTTTTTTTTTGCAATTCTTTGGAATTTTCATGACGATTTTCTGAGTATACTTCATTCTTCCAGTGCTCTTCGAGAGATATACTGCTCAAAATAGAGTTTCGAAATTGGAATTTGAAACGTAATAAAATATTGAATTTTGAATTTTGAATTTGGAGAATTTTGTGATTGATAAAGACACTTTGCTTTCACCTGTTTCGAGGAATAATTATCGATTAATAATTATCGATGAAATTAGTCTAGTTATATGATACAGGTGTTTCTTTGATAGATTACGTTAAGACTCTATTTGTTACATGTAATACGATGATCGAGGATATTATTGATAAGGAAACGTTAAGTTCAATTTGATTTGCATATGCAGATTAAATGCGAAATGGTTCATTTTTGAGGTTGTCCATCGTACGATTGAATTAGAATGATAAAGTGAGATGAAATGCTATTAGCAGCAAGCGTGTTAAGCAGACATGTAAAGAGAAAAGAAATTTGATTTTTTATTTACTAGATAACTTACGTGTCTCTTGGACTGTAAGAATTTTTTACCCTGAAGGTGGAACATTGAAAATTTGATTTTCCTTCGAATTCGTTTATCGTTTTATTAATCGTTTTGAGCAGTATAGAAAGTGAATTACTATAAATTAGCACCATTAGTTAATCTCGTAGCGAATCATTAATTTCTCATTCTTGTTTGAAGGAAAATAGCAAATTTATATTTCTTC